AATTCTCAACTAGAGGCAGGTCATTCTAAGAATAGATATGTTTGCTCATTGTAGATCTACCTGTATGCTTAGTTTTGTTGCATAGCTGACCTGTCAGTTGAGTTCCTGAGGCTTTTTTTTTTGTTTTACTAATGTTCGCTAAAAAGCCTTTGAGGATTTACAAGAACAGCCATATTGAAATTTATACACATTTGGTCTCCAATTACTAATTCGGAAACCTCTGGATAGTTTCACTGGATTTTATTTATGGGTATCAAAACAAAAGAGCATCAACAGCAAATGTACACACTTAAAAAAAAAGTACCATGTTTGTTCTACTTATGTACCTGCTATTTTAGATTAAATAGAATTAGACAGTTTAAAAATCCTTCATTTGATCTTTAGTCTTATTTTTAAGAGTTGAACTGTGTGACTGGAAAACTGTTTCCAAATAAATCCCAGCAAGACTCAATGGTTCTGCCAATCTACCTTTTCTGTCTCTACCTATTTGTTAAACACGGCAAGAAACCAAATACTGTGTTGATCTACCATAAAATCTCAGTAAAACATATTTATAGTTCAACAAGTATTATCAAATTTACAAGGCACTGCATTTTTTTAATCATGTACTTTTTGAAGGATTTAAAAAAAAAAAAACATCCATTACTTGAAGACTTTGAAGGCTGATTGACCAGATAAAAACTAAAAGTGACCCTATGCAGGTTTTACCATTTATCAGAACACATGAACTCGAACCAGTACCGCAAATATAAAAAATGTAAATGTTGTAAAAGCTACAAAACATTCTCTGATATTGAGTTTACAGACTTAAAATGTGTGAAGACATAGCCACTTTCAGCAGCCAGGTGATTACAATGCAGTGAGGAGTTTGTTTTTTTTTTACTGACCACTAAAGCACTTCATGCATGTTAATATACGAGCAGCGCACAGGAAACAACGGCTTTGATCATCACTGGTCACAGTGTTACGACACATTCGGTCCCCCAGCTAAGAGATACACAACAACACGTTGATACAGAAGCATCTCACAGAGGTCTTGGAATGGCTAACGCAGCTGAGAGGGAATCTTTTCAGCAGATCTGAAGTCACTGTAAGTCACACCAACGTCTGTCACCTGACTCATTGCGATGATTGTGGACCGTAGATCGGAAATCCTCAGGCCAGTACAAACTGCCAGTTCGTTAGGAGGATCTTTATACCTTTGATGACCGAGACCACAGATGTGGCCGGGTTAAACTTTAACGTGTTAGCGTCGCCTTTCTTACACTTGTCCCTGAAGACGTATATGCAGCCGTTACAGCTGGCCACCTTCCACAGGGAAGGGATGCAGCTCCACACCTCCGGGAAGCGCAGCCGCGTGAAGCTCTCCAGCAGAGGGTTGTAGCACACCAGCGAGTCCCCTTCGCCTACGATGAAGATGACGTCCATGTGGACGGCGGCGTGCATGCAGCCCGCAAACGGCAGCATGTACGGCTTGATCTGGCACTTCTGGGAGGAGGTGTCGAAGCACTGGATGAGACGGGACGGCTTTGTGAAAAAGTCCATGTCGTTCTCCTCGCCTCCGAGCAGGTAGATGGTCCCTCCCAGGTTGACGCCGGCGGCCCCGGACACGGCCGTGTCCAGCTGGCTCGTCTCTGTCCACATGTTGTCCTTCACTGTGTAGTAAATGATGGCGTTCGACAGCGTGTCCTGCAGCGTCTTCCCGCCCAGCGAGTAGATGGCGTCTTCAGAGGCCACCGACACCATGGTGTGGTGGAGGCGGTCTCTAGGCAACGGTGCACAGCGCTCCCAGTCCATGGTGTGCATGTTGCACTTCCACATGCGGCGGGGGATGGACCCCCCCACCACATACAGGTCCCCGCCGTGTTTACAGGCGGCGGTGATCTGATGGCATAGACTGTTCTGGCCGCTCACGCTGATGGCATCGTCCTCATCACAATGCAGAGACACGGCGAGGGAGTGAGTCCTCGTCTCCTCTTTACCGATCAGGTAGATGTGGACGTTCTCCCCGATTTCCTGCCACGGACCCAGAAAGAGATTTTAGTGACAGAAAAAAGCATGAGGAGAACCGATCACCTTATGATTATTATTACTACTATTTTCTGTTTTTTTTTCTTTCAAAATTATTAGCTTCATGTTGGAACCTGTAAGCCCCTTGCTTTCCTTCAGGTTCAATGTTTGACACATTGAAATGTTGAATAACTTCTTTGTTCTGTACCTTTTTAAAACCCTTGAAAAGAAAAACTGGAAATCTGACACTAGCTGATAAAAACCTGATTGGCAGGTGTTTAAATTCTACCTTCAGATTCTCCTGGAGAAGGCAGGAGAACTCCTCTCTCTCGACCTTGTTGTGGTTTATCCACGACTCGATGGCCATCGTTGGATTCTGGGAGCTGGGAACGCCATCTAAACACAGAGACAGAGCCGACTGAGCAGCGTCGATCAAGAGAGGTTGCAATTCTTATGCTTTTAAATCTGCCTAACAGTAATACCCTTGATGATGTCCAGCAGCAGGCAGAGGGGCAGGTTGAGATATTCTTCGGTCTGATGCAGCTGAGCGAGGTGGATTTTAGCACACTGCTTGGCTGCAGTATACAGCTCCTGGTCACTGTGTCTGTCTGCAAGCCACATCACCTAGAAAAAAAAATTAAAAACAGAAAAAAGATTTAGTATGAATGTTCTAAATCAGACTGGCCTGCAACGCCAGTGACAAATCAATAAAGACTTCTGATTCTGGTCTGCTCCTCATTCCCAGAACCAGGATCAAACATGCAGCTTCAAAGCACCACAAAGCTGGAACAAACCTCCAGAAAACTGTAAATCAGCTGAAACAATGAGTTCCTTTAAATATAAACTAAAAATCCACCTATTTAGAGTTGCTTTTGAGACATTATAAATGAAACATTAATCAACATTTTGATGTGTAACGACTGACAAAATATAATGCTTCAATCGTTGACTGTGTATTCTGTGATTTTATATTTGTGTGTTTTATGATGTAAAGCACGTTGACCTGCCTTGTTGCTGAAAACGTGCTGTACAAATAAACTTGACTGATTGACTGAAGTCACCTGTAAGCAATTCTTGACCTCCACCGTCCGTGAGAGGAAGCGGGAGCACTCCTCAAACAGAGCCGTCAGCTGGTACATGTCCGCCATCTCGTAGGTATCCTGCAGCTCCTCCACCCGCAGCTTGATGGTGCCGTGGTAGATGTAGTCGACCAGGAGCTGGAAGACGGAGGCGCTCACGTCCTTCAGCTCGATGAAGCGGTTGTGGGACTCTTTGAGGTTGGAGGTGAACATGGAGCGGAAGAAGCTGCTCTGCGCCGACAGCACCAGCCGGTGCAGGTGAAACTGCCTTTCATCCACGGTGACGGTGACGTCCGCAAACAGGCCGTCCTCCAGACACAGGTCCATGATGCTCTTCACCACGCGGCTGGAATGAGAGCGGTCAGTGAAGGTGTATCCGAGGAAGTAGTTCTCCTCTCCCACAGAGCCGCCGACACTGACGCCGCCCTCCTCACCGGACTCCATCTTTGCTGCCTGCCATGTTAAAAACAAATGTTAACACCAGATTATTAGGGAAAGATAAACAGTGGGTTAGATGGAAGGAAGTTAGTTATCATTTATCGGTGGCTTTACAGCAACTGTGAATATGTAAGTATGCTAAATGCATATTAAATGTATTAGTGGAGACATATAATAGATGCTTATCAAAGAACAGTTTGTCTATTGAACTGATCCACCAGTTGCTCCACATGTATCTCGGCGTGATTTTGGAGAACAGGATAACTTAGTACAAATGTACCCACTAAGATCTCTTACGTATTGTAGCTTTTTAAAACATTCAGTTTTTACTGTTTATTCTTAAGGCGACGGTAATGCTACCTAGTTTTTTTATTTTTTTTATTTTTTATTGTTCTTCATACAAAAAGTAATCATAGATTTTCTTAAGTAATAAAATTAAAACGGATACAGCATGTTTTGAATGTTCCCTTTTTATAATCAACAGGTATTTATGAGTAAAATGTTTCGTTTGATAATGTATTAACCCGTGGATTGAATAAGATGCTGTAAACGAGTGGAGTTTGGTGGTTTTATTTTAGTTTATAAAGCTGTGTTTCCTCACCGACTACAATTCCTCAATTTGGACAATGAAGTTTATATTACTAACTTGTGAGTTTTTGCAGAAATATGTAAATATGTACCACTCAAAAAGCTCATTGGTCTATTGAACTGAGACTCATATTCAAATATTCAGACGTGTTTATTAGCGGTTGTTCTGTTTTTTACGATGAACAATTAAATCGTTCAGTCTATACACGTTTTCTAATAAAAGGTCTTCGACATGTAAAGAGCAACCAAAACAAGTAACAAGCGATGCTGATTGGCTAAGCTAGGTTACCGCTAGCTGTGCTGTTGTGTTTATCTCCCGCTAGCGCCCGCAGCAGAAAGCCGCCTGCTTGTTTTTCTATTCAATGTTCTACCAAAATATTCTGAAGAAAACATGGAGCTAAACAAAACTCGCTTAACTGTGATAGCCATGCAGTTACACTACCTTTATTTGCACTGTTGCAGCATTCAGAGGCAGCTGAACTGCTCACCGGAATAATTGTTGTAAGAGGTTAAACTGAGAAAGCGCCAAACGCTTACCGCCCCCCTGTGGCAAAATCTCATTACTACAGCTTCTTATTCAAAACAACAAGAAGGCAATGTGTAACTGAATCTCAGTAAGCATGAGTAAATAAAGCACACCTTCATAGCTGTGTTAAAAACATTAATGAGCAAATTGCATGAAGAAGAAGTGGAGTTGAGCAGTTTTGACAGAATTTCCTCCTAGAAGTCAGTCTGAGAGGTCCTATTTAGATTATTACCTCCATTCATATTTTCATAAAAACTTTTGATCACAATACTATGACTTATAATAGATCACCTGGGATTGCTTTCTTCACTACAGTGTCCAGGTGATGTTTTTTTTTTCTCCCCTACAATCTAAGGATGAGAACTGAGAGAAGAATTCAGATTTTCCTTTCTGTGCCTGGTATTCAGATAACATATTTAAGTGAAACTTTTCACTTTACTGTGTTTTGCAAGATGAAGAAAAACAAATCTAAATTAGAAAAATTTCCACAACATAGACTTGCTCCAGAGGAACCATCTGGTTTCTGCCTGTTTTTCAAGCTTTAAAAAAAAAAAAAAAAATCTGTGGTATTCAGGGGACGTTTTCTTCTTTCCATGAGTGGAGAGGAAGGGCAGATGTTGCTTTTCCTCTTTTTGTTCTAAGCTAGAGAGACATGAATGCACAACTAAGACTCTGGCTCCCAATTATTCTATGGCTTTGGCTTGGTCAAGTGCTGCAAGGTGAGTTAAACGGGACATTCTGATAGTTTATGCCGTTACACTAAGGTAATTCATGTGTTCAGTTTGCATTGTATACTGAAGTAATGACAGTTATAATGGTAAATCAGCTCAATGTTTAGCAGCAATATAATTAAATCTATGACAATTATAATTTTTCCCCTTCAGATGTGGCAGCAGGCTCTGGTCCAAATGTCGATCTCTCCGATGCAAACCTGATGTTTGAGGTAGCTTTATGTCCGACTTCAACAAACTTATAGATGACCAAAGCATCTATGCCGTTTCTTTTATTGCAGTAAAAACATATTTTCCGTATTATTCACAGATTTTACTGAGTGGGGTTGAGTTAAACAAGGATAACAATGTTTTCCTGCTGGACGAAGAGCTGGCATCGATGAGGAAAGGGCGGGAATTCTTGTCTCAGATCAATGACGGCATTCCGAGGACTCGGACCTCGACAGAGCTCATGATGAAGACGCGGGAGGCTCATCGGAAGACTCCTCTGACTCGGGATCAGTTTGAGAACCTGGTTCTGAGCATGGTGTACTCTGCTCTGCAGGTTGGGGCCCAGAGGAACAAGGAGGAGCGAGAGGCTTGGGGTGGAGTGCTTATCCAGCTGGCAAACATCACCACCTACGACTTACGGGGAGGTTTTCTCTACAATTATGCTTAGAGAAATCATAAAGATGGAAGCTTTGATCTTAAAATTAGACAGGAAAAGATTTTTTTAAAGAAATATCCAGCAATATAAGAATGAAGATATTTATTATTTTACAGTAGAAAAAGTGCAGGGAAAACGTAAAAAGCCCTGCAAATACGAATGGTTCATATAAAATACGAAATTTTTCACCATGCAAACAATCCCTGATGGTAGAAACACAAAAACACTAACGGAAAAATGTACAAAAATAAACTTAAATTTCTCAGCTCTCTACAGTTTCCTCTTCCGAGTTTGTTTTTGTTTGGTGCACCCGGTTTTGGTTTCGGTCTTGGTCTCGGTTTCTTCCAGAGAAGCTAGCTTTTTCTTCAGCTTTGCATCCCCGGTCGAACTCCTCCGGTCTCTGCCAGAGCGCTGCTGACCCCTCCGCTGACCTCTGACCCCGTCCGCTGAAGCCGACGTTTCCTCGATCGGTTTGTGTCGGCCGCTGACCAGCGACTCGTCGTGGTCCCAGATCAGTAGTGTCACGCCTGAGAGCAATCAAAGAGAGTTTTTGCTGCTTAATTCAGCTTTTATTCCTCTTAAACTTTTTTCACATTTATTTATGCTACAGTTCACAAACTGTAATGAATTTACTGCCATGAAAACACAAAGTAGTACATAACTATGAAGTGAAGGAAATCACTCATGTTTTCACAAATATAAATGTGGAAAGGGCTTTTTGCGTCATCCATCCCCCTTTATTCTAATAACTCTAAATCTAAATAAAATCCAGTGCAGCCAAAAGTCACATAAGAGCTGCAGAGATCCACAGCGCTTGTGGGAAAATATTAGAAATGTACGACTAGAGGGGCCAATTCTGGCCTTGGAAAAAAAGAAATGATGAAAGGACTTATAGCACGATAACCATTAAGATACAGAATCAGTTACCATTTAGTGATTTAGACTAAATCATATTCATGTGTCAAAATGCACCAAAACAGATCTTATTTTCCAAAAAGAATGAGTGAATTTATTCACAAATATCCCAATAAAATCCACTGACATTTTGAAGCTTTAACACAACAAAATATGATTCAGTTTAACAGCTGGAACTGTGAAGACATCTCACCCATTCCAGATCCGATGACGTCACCCATTGGACTGAACTTGTTGATCTGTAGACAAACCCCCCCCCCCCCCAAAAAAAAACTCTTTGTTTAAAAAGGTTCTGAATTAGTTTTTTAACTTGACTTTTTAAATTAAGTGATACTTACAGATTTGATCCCCGAGGCCGTGGAATCATACATCTGAAACACCAACTCCCCACTGTTGGAGTCAAAGACGTCAATGGTCCTCTGATCTCCGGTGCAGATGCGGTCATCAGGGTATCGGCCCGCCACAATCAGGTCATACAGGGGATGCCAGGTGGCCTACAGAACAATCCGTCATTATTTTGTTGTTACAGACTCTCATTAAAAAAAAATCATCTTTCTACATCCATAGTGCCTAAAATAAGATTTTACATATAATTTACATACAACCAGATGGATGTTTTTATTAAATGTTTATTCCCACTGAAATAAACTTGAAGAGAGACAACAGACCTTGATGGGTGTGAGGTGCTGAAACTGCCTGTGTGGGTGCTGAATGATGTGCTGAGGCTTCGACCAATCAGAGGAGGAGTACACCCGGATCTGGTCGTGCTGATCTGTTGTGAGTAGCTTGGAGGCGTCCAAAGGGTTGAAATACGCTGCAGTAGATTAACAGAGCGGGTTTCTTTTAGGTTTTTATCTCTTAATAAAGTCCTATCTTCCAATTTCTTCAAATATTCGCTCTCATTTCTCATATTAAATCATGCTGAGAGATGATTTGATCACAGCCCTTTGAGAGAAAGCAGTTTTTTTTTAAAGATATCTGGTATAAAGTAAATTAGAATCCAAACATTTATCTGTACTGTATGAAAATATTATTTTTAACCATTTAACAATACTTAGTAAAACCTCTTAATTTAATAGGTCAAAAGTATTTCTACTAGCTAAATGCTAGAATAATAGAAAATTTCTATTATTCTAGCATAGTAGAGAAAAAAAAATCTGAGTTCAGTTGTTTCGTTTTGTTTTTTTTTGTTTGTTTTTTTCACTCTGGGCTAGCAGCAACACTCTGGAATGAAGCCTGAAGAATTTTAAATCAATCTAAAGATAATGAATTTTTCTTCTGATATCCGACATCAAAAAGGTTGGATTGCTTCAGTATGAACAACCAGACTTATAAAGAATTAAAAAAAAGAAAAAACAAAAGTTTACCAAAGACAAATAATTCCAACCTGAGTTGACGGCTCTCTCGTGAGGCATTTCGTAGAGGAAGCTCGTCTTGTCCTTGATGTTCCTCAGGTCCCAGAGCTTCACCGTGTGGTCAACCGAGGCCGTCGCCAGCAACCAGTCGCATCGGAAGTTAAACTCTGCATGCGTCACCTTGGCTTTGTGCAACTTACTGCTGAAAATCTAACAATTAAACAGAGCAAACCCAACAAACGGTTTTTAACATAACCATCGCATTTCTCTTGACTGGAAGTGATACTGACTTTGATTTCACCAAGTTTCTTCCTTCTTCCTGAACATGAACAAAACGACTGATTTAGCCGCTACCAATTGCAGGCTTTCACGTCTTCAATCCTTTGCTTTGCATAAATTCTCAACTCAGATCCATTTAGCGCATGTAAAATTAAAACTATTTTTAGAAGACTGCTGTAAAACGGCTATAAGAACAAACCTTTTTCCCATCCAGACCCAGAAGCAGAAGCTCTCCCATGTTGTCCCCAGTCACAAGCATCTGCCGACTCACAGACACGTCGACACAGCAGTACCAAAAGCTGGAGAAAAAGTAAGAACAACCATTTAGAAAATGTAAGCAATAATCAGTGAAGTTTGTCACGTGCAACATTTGTGATAAATAGCTAAAAACATTACAGCAATTTAGAAAGATGCAGAATTCAGTCTACTCCATTATGTAACATTCAACCCCCAACAAACTATTTTTATGCTTTAATCAAACAAAACAATAGAAATAAACTCATTTGTTTTGAGGTTTAGAGAATGACTTTTAGACACAAAAAACTAACTTAGGATAGTTTGTACACAAAAACAGAGCAAAAAACATAAAGCTAGAAAAGTATTTGTACTGTGCCTCACAAATATATCAACACAACTCTAACATTTTGTCCTACTGCAGCCACAAACCTTTTTACATAAAAACCAAAAGGAGCGACTCGACCTGTTGAGTAGTCCTCTAGATTTGTCGTGGGCCTTTTTGTCGCTTTGCTCAGCGTGTCATTTTAGGAGGTCAGTCATGTCTTAGTTGGTGTACCTTTTTGTTTTGTTTTTCAGATGATTTATTTAAGGGCGGACCGATTGCAGTTTTCTGGCCAATCATAGATCTTTAAAAATTCGAACCTGACGATTCTGGCCGATAAGAGAGTTTTCTCTATAACTGACACAGCGACAAATTGTTTTATTTTTATATGCGCCAAATGAACCCGAGTTGAGAATTTATTTAAAAGAAAGGATTGAAGACATAAAAGGTCTGCAATTGGCAGAGGTATATAGTTGCTCTAAACTTAGCAACTTTGGACAACTTTGGTGTCCATAGTGCCTAAAATAAGATTTTTTAGTCATAAAAAAAGATGGATTTTTTTTTAATCAAATATTTATAAAAGTCGTATTCCAAATAACAGTCGCACTTTTAAAAAACTTTAAATTTAGATATAGTTGTCGCAACACATGAAATCGCCACAGAGATTTGTGGTTGTAATGTGACAAAACAAATACTTTTTGGGGGCAAATGTTGTTGCCACTGTCAAGCATCAGTCTTCCTTCCAGTTTCCTCACCAAACATTGTGGTGATCATGACCACAGTCTTGCGTTCTGGACAGCAGGGTGGGAGTGTGTCCCTCAAAGCTATGCAGGGTCAATGTCCCCTCGCCAGAAGCCGCATAAACTCTGGAGAAGTCTGTGGGGCAAAACTTCATCCCGCCAATGAAGTCTCCCGCTCCGTTCTGCACACACAAATACAAATGCAGGCCAATAATGCATTCGCTTTGCATGGAAATGCTTAAATCTGCAGGGGGCCGCCTGATAAGAAGACTGATGCTAGACTGAGTGAGCTTACAGCCTGGATGGGGAAAAACAAAAGGGCTACTAGTCTTACTTCAGGGAGTCTGTGTATGTAAACACTGTTAGGGTTGTCCCACTGAAATCCTGCAGAGATGTTGTACCGCCCATAGACGAGGTGAACAGCTGACTGGGATTTAACAGGTTAAACTTCATGTCTGTGACTGAGTCTCCAGCCCCCATCTAAGCAGAGAATCAAAAATGGGTTGTCGAAAGGGACATCTAGGATGCACACTTCTACAAATCCATCTGCTTTCTTTAGCCACAAAAGGATTGCAGATGATTATAAAGATCGGCAGGACCCCTCCATGTTGTTGAGATAAACCCAATCAGAGGCATCAACTCACCCCTCGAGTAAAGCTTTTCGTTTCAGACTTCTCAAAGTCCCACAGAAAAATGTCCCCCCCTTTTGAGGCTGCAGCCACAGTGGTGGGATGAGTGGGATGCCACTCCAAGCAGGTGATTCTGCGATCAAATGGACTGCTGGCGCCATGAAAATGGTAGGAAGACAGAGATCGAACAAACGGCTCCTGCAGGCACTGCGAGAGACAGAAAAAGTTTGTTTTTTCTTAAACCAGATTTTTACTCAGTGCGCCGCATAACACTGCAGGAAAAATCCAAGCCAGGCCTAAACATGTCTGTTGTTACAGCTCTTCTCATTCTCAACTAACATTAATCTCTGATCATCCCCATCAGGAATAATTTTGTGCCTAAATGTACAACCTAAATATGTGCGAGAGGTATGCAGAGTTTTTCCAAGGCTCTGTACAACACTGGAAAAACATCCCTGAAAATTTTATGCAGGGAATAATTTCTGCAGGAATTGGATGGAGAACCTGAAGGAGAGAGAAAAGAGGCACATGCAAATGAGATAACGAGGCGAGCGTTTGAGATCATACAATCATATATTTGATTAAAAGAGAATGAAAATATCCAATTGTGTGGAAATAAATGTCTTGTTGATTAGGTCCAGTGACAATTTTCTGACTGGCTACAGGTAGCTCCAATTTGCCCACAGTTCAAACACCATAAAGAGAATATCTTCTCATAATCCATAACACTTCAAATTTTGAAGAAAATGTGCTACAGCAGCAGAAATTTGGCAAACAAATTGCCTCTCTAGTTT